AAATAGGGCAAAACGTCTATATGGAGAAAAGCTAAAGTTTTGTGGAAATGAAAGGAGTTTGAGGTCTAACTTTTTTTTTTTAATATTTAAAAACTTACAACGATCTGTGCACATAAAAATTTGTAAAAACTGACAATAAGGCTGTAATTTTGATAATTTTTCTCTAAATAGAAAAATGTCGCCAAATCGGCGGTTTTTAAGAAAGTTTAATAACTTGAAATATTCAGTTATTTGTCCGCTCTAAAGCCCAGATAATTCTTAACGGTTAGATTAGATTATATTTGTTTAAATTCATCGCTTAGCTTCGGCATAAGGCACTTAAACTGTGGCTTTCTCATTTTGCTTAAAGGCAGATCTTCGAAAAACTATGTTAAGCTATCACTGCTATTTTGCTAAGCCTAATTAAAATTCATTAAGCCTAATCGAATTCATTAGTATGTTTTTTGAACAGACTAATTTCATTTTAAGAATGAGTATGTGCATAAAATAGCTTTATGAGTCATATTAGGATGCTTAAAAATGACCAACGGCTTTCTGACCAGCAGTGTCTAATGAGAGATACGTAGATTTAATGTACCTTGAAACAGCATTAGGTACCTCGAATAATTTTTAAGAAAAATATATGAAAAACTTTTGAACTCTGTTAATCGTAAGGCTAAAAATATTCATTTGTTTTTAATTAATTAAAAAGTAGTGCTTTTGCAAAATTGTTTTATCTTAAATTAAAATCTTGCATACCATTAAAAATATGGTTAAAAACTATTCTCCTCTAAAGTGTCTAAAAAGGCGTTATGGCTATAGTTCAAATATAGTCCGATATCGGGAAAGCAGCATAATCTAATTTGCAAGAAATCTATATTATATAAAACGCTAATACGTACGTATGTATGTATCAATAAAACCGATGATATTTCTTTTCTCGCGCTGGCAACAGTTTTCATTTTTAATTGATTGGATTCGGCGCGCAAGAGCACGTAGTGAGCAACCAGATAACAATAACCAGAGTGAGCATTATCAGGTTGTTCAATTCAGATTCATGCACTAAAAACATGACAATATTTAATTTAAACTCAATTAGGAATTAATTAATTAATTGAAGTGAGAATGCTTTAAAAGGCCGCTGTTGAATTGATATTTTTCTACTGGGAGCTACCTAAACGTCTAAAAAACGTTTAAGTGTTTGTATTGAATGCATTGAATTTTTTTATATTTCGCGTTTATTTATGCATTGAATTTTCACGCTTTAAAATGCAGAATATTAGTGAAGCAATATTTGATAATTTATTTTGCTAATATGTTTCTTATTTAGCTAATGTTTTGATTTTTTCACCATGTACAATCTAAATAGCTAATATACTTTTTTAAAAGCCAATAAGAACATTGGTAGAATTCTTCTACATAAGTACAATACTATGTCTTTGATGATAAAATACTATGTCTTTGATGATAATATATTATGTCTTTGTGCTAGAACATTGTGTTCATTGGCGAGCGAGCGCAGCGAGCCATGGTTCACGGCGTGAACCACATAGGATTGCGCAGCAATTCTCGGGGGTTGGCGAGCGTTAGCGAGCAAGGGGTGGAGCCTCCTAGTTCTGTTTAAACCACAAAAATGTGGTTTATCTTTAAAAGAAAGAAGAAAATTTTCTTTTTTTTCACGGCCAAAATTCTGAATTCTGTTGACCCTAAATATTCCCTACACTATAAAAACTGTGCTGCACTATCTCTCCGAATTCGGCGTCAGACAAAAAAATAATGTGAAAAACACTTTATTTCACGCGAACACTAAATCAAACGTTCCTACATTCCTTAATGGGTATAGTTAAATCTGACGCTTACAAATATTTAATAAATTATCTCTTAGAAATCATGTATAAAAGTAAACGTAGTATAAATGAAATATTTGAATAAGTATGAGTCAAATGTTTCAGGGGTACTAATAAAAGAAAAATCCGAATTTTTATTGTTACTACTTAGCACGAATAAATGAATTCTAGAAGAAATTGGAATGCTTCCAGTCAACAATAACAAAAAAAAAAAAGCCTTCGTTGGGTTTTTATATTTTCCCTACAAACCTAATGAAATACATAGTAAAAAGGTTAATAACCTTTTTCTTGCGTCGTTCGAAAAGTTTAGGAGGAATGTACATTTTGTTGTTAAGAACAATGGCCAAGATTTTATTTCAGAAATGAATACCAATTTAATTGTACTTTTCGATGCATTATACAAGTAGAATGTATAAAATGGTAATATTTAATATACGAAGAGATTTTGCTAATTGCCTTTATCTTTATTTAATACCCTACTTTTTTATTCCTTTAACTCTCTCATATTTTATTTAAATTGGGCTACAACTCTGAATAGTTTTCGTTTTCGAAACATTGGGAGTCCCGCTGTGGACTGATCGTAAGGACACGGTTCCCAGTAGAACACCGAAGTTAAATATCACTGGCTGCGGTCAGTAAGCGTGTGGGTGACCACTTTGATCGGCCTGCGTATGGACCGAGGGTGCGCGGTATCAGTCCTCGTTAAACTTCTCTACTGAAAAGTGCTCGACTTTGCGCACAGGTCATCGAGCTACCAAAGCATCGAGCACCATTTTACGTTCGTAAAATCACCAAACTTAATAATAGAATTATTAACTAAACTTACAATTGAAACATCATTCAAAAATGACGAAAAAATATAAAAATAAGCACATGAAAAATTCGATCTAGGAAGACAAAAACCTCGTTAATTGAGGCATAGATCTTTAACATTCCGATTAGAAATATCGTTATAGTGAAAATTTCAATATCGCGAGACTTCGTTGTTGGGAGATTCTACTACTTCGGTAATACTATTGATCCTAAACTTTTATCAGACTTTTTTCTTAAACTACAAAGTTAAAAATAACATCAGGTGACAAAGTTTTTGTATTGTTAAACCAATGACAACAGCATCATTAAAGTCAATCATTATTTCCATAATGATCAAAATTATTTGCTTAATTCATTGGAAGGGTATTGTTTATTTTTTAAACAATGTCTTAGATACTAAGTTTGAATCGTTTGTGTAATCACGAAGAGTATAGCTTCAATATTTCACAAACTTTCAACAAGTAACACACTTTTAACGCATTGTATGCACGCAATAATATGCAAAACTGTCTACTATTTTTTATTTATTTATACGAAACAAGAATATATAAACTCCAATTGTTTTTTACACGATTTTTTCACTCCAAAGAAGTGTATATTGGAAAAAATTAATTCCCGAGTTATTTTTTGATAATAAAAAAAAAGCTTTGTTATATTATTATAAATGATACCTGAAAACTCAAGTACTTGCTTGTGTACGCTTCAGGGAAATGAGTGATTTAAGGGGGGGGGGATTGAAATTCATTTAAACAATAAAGTGAATCTTATTTTCCGATTCTTTTTTAATTTTTTTACACTGTATTGAATGGGATGAATCTTTTAGAGACTAAGAATTTAGCGTTTTATGAGCAAAATGTATAAATATGTACTTGAGGAATCTGATATTGCTCCTTAAACAAGTAAGAAAAGTTAAGTATTTCTTGCACTCAATCGAATGAGATTCGACGTATTAAAGAATATAGATGGGTCTTTTTCCTTTCTAAAATACGCAATGTTTTTTTTTCTTTTCTTTTTTTCTTTTTTTTTTTTACATTTCTTTTAAGACATAGCGTGCACCTATATTTTAATAATCATATGTATGGGAAATTGTTTTTCAAACTGTCTTTCGACAAATTTGTAGTTGTTCAGTTAATACAAAATTATTAATCAATTTAATACAAAATGAATTAATCTATGTTTCGTTAACTAGATGGTGCTGCCATCTAGTGTGGCCGAAACTAAACGTCCATATTAACATGACCAACGGTATCTCACCCATTGTGGTGGTCCGGAAAGAGTGGATACCACTTCTGGAGTACGCGCTAGGTCTGCTCATCGGGAAGACTGATTGTGCAGCTCATAGGAAATAAAAATGTTTCGTTAACATTGAGATAGCTAATTATTTTAATGATATTATATTTAATACTGGAAAAGTAAGCAAATAAGGTTAAAAAATTCCCAGAATTGAAACAAAATAAAGTCAAAACATGTTAAATAGTTTGTTTTTAGATTCGGATTTTCATACTAAAATTTTAGTCAGAAGATTTTAAGGAGATCACAATTAGAGTATTATTTCAATTTCATAAATGAGCCTTAAAAACTGTAAACTGATTTATACAAAAATCCGGTTTATGTGTACATACACATTATTTTTTTTAAACGCATTCGTATTAACTGCTGTCAAATTTACTTTTTTTGTATTTATTTATTTTTTTTGAAGATTTTAATTTCCTGGAAAAAAGTATCCCCGTTTCATTTTAATTTAATTTTTCTGCAACAAATGGCACAGCAATCACCAAATGAAGAATGGGATTGTACTAGTTTAAACTTATATACATCTAGAAATGCTTATCAGATCCAAAAAATATAAATATACTCCGCATTTCTTTAGTCAAATAGAAACGAATTAAACCTCATTTTTAAAGACACATTCCAATTAAGAATTTAAATAACAAGAAACAATTTTTTTAATTTAATTAAACTAATATGTTCATTAAAATTTATTAAATAATCATTAAATCAAAGCAAATCACGATAAATTAAATTTAATATTTTAAACTTCAGATTAGAAAGCTATTAACTTTATGTTTTTTTCCCAGATATAATTAAATAGCATTTAAAATAAGCAGGCAATCCTCATATATTTCTAGCATCAAAAACGATCAATGTAACAACAACAGTTTTTATGTATAAGCTTGAGTTTATTATTTGTGATATCAGTCAGCATGAAATTTATAAAATCAGATGAAATTTATAAAATCAAAAATCAAACAGGTAGCTACCGCTGTTAATAGTCACTTGCTTGTAGCGTTTAAGTTGTCAATTAGGATATTATAAGTAAACAGATCACATTTTCCATATTAATGATTTTATTTATTACATAAATACAATCAATACTCTGAGATTTCTTTTGCAAAATATTTTGCTATTTTATGCATATATTATTGGAAAGGATAATAAATAGCTGCGGATTAGGATTGAGACTTTTTCTTAACTTTTCTTCTTGCAGGTTTCTTCAAACAGAAGTTTAGCACATTCCTGTAATATGTAATTGAAACTAATGTAAGTAGCATGCTTGAAAAATGCAAAGTCTTGCACTTCAAGTAACTCTAAAATGAAAGTGGCACCCTTATGATTTATTAAGTATAAAAGCCTATGGTCAATCATTGCCACTTAGTTAATCATGCTTTCTTACGAATTCTTTACACGAAGTCTTTTAAAGAATGCTATAAAAATAAAAACTTTTTTTCCACACAGCTGCTCTAAGTCTATGCAGTATAAAATTCGGGACAAAATTACTGAATAAAATACAGGCACTTTGGTTGCATCATCCGTAAAATCTATTTTTACCTTAAAATATCATCACGTAATTTTTACAGTAATATTTATTTAGTTAGAATGATTCAGTGGTTTTAAGATAAATATTACTGTAAAAAATACGGTATATCAGATTTTTTGCTCCATAAAATATTCAGGTAAGAATGGATGATTTTGCGGTAAAAAGTACCGACACCTTGAGTCACTGATTTTTACCGGTATTTTGACAGTGTAGAGCGACTTTTTTTTTTTACAAAAATTGCTATAAAGCTAAAAAATTTTACAAAACTTTCACATAATGTTTGCAAAACTTTCGATTCAATTTAGGTTTCTAATTAAGAAACCTATTTTTTTTTCAAATGAAATAAATTTAATGTTTGATTTGTGTACACAATTAATTAGAATGAATTAGATTAATTAGAATGATACAGTGATTTTACGGTAAATAAAACTATAAAAAATACGGTATATCAGATTTTTTTGTCCCGTAAAATGTTCCGGTAAAAATGGATTATACGGTAAGAAGTATCGGCACCCTGAGTGCTGTTGTTTTTTTCTTACCGGAATTTGATCCGGAATTTTTACATAGTAGAAAGAATTTTTCTTATAAAAAACTGTTTTAAAGTTAAATTTCTTTTTGCAAATGATCATATAATAAGGAACCTAATTTTTTTTTCAAATGTAATAAATCTTGAATTTTCATTTCGTGTACACAAATGCTATTAAGCTACCTACTTTGGTTTTCATAAATTTTATAAAGCAAGATGCATTCAGAATTATGCAAATTTTATTAGACCAGAGACCTAGATGGCTATGAAAATTTTATATTTCTCGAAACTTGTAAGTGACCAGGATTCGAAATTAAAAAGATATTATGATTTTATATGATGACGCTAGAATCATACACCCTGAAATATGTTATAAACATGGAAAACTATTTCACACAAATTTTGCAAAAAATAAGAACATAAATATTGATATACAAATACTATGGAATACTATATTTCTTACACAAATGTTGTAATGAAAAAAAATTACATGATTGAACACAATTGTCAAAAAGTACTATATTATTTGTACAGATATTATAAAGCTAGAAACCTACATCTTTTAACTGATTTTAGAAACCAATTTCTTAATAAATTAACATTTATGTTTTGACTGTAATTTCGAATATGTCCAAAACAAAATGTACAACGCATGGTTGAAAGCCCGTATTTTCCAAATATCATTCGTTAGTTATCCGATATTTATTTCCTTAAAAAGGGCCTCAAAATCAATTTGCTTGAATTATAAAAAATTTCAAAATACACACAATTTTAAGAGAACTGTTTTAAAGACTTACAATATCGACAAACAATTCTTGCAATTTTGCATATAAAAAATGTAAATTGGTAGAACTCGGACAGGTATTATCTATAAGTTATACTAGGGACTAAAATTTACTTAAATATAAAACAAATTAAATGTAAAATGCGTTTAAAAAGTTTTTTATGTAAATAAAACATGCATAAAACGAACTTAACATTTCGTTTTTCTGCACATAACGATAGGACACGTTCAAACAAAGATGATTCATACGAAAAGAAAAATTAAATTTCACTCTTTAAACCTTTTTTCGTCCTAAATTCACCCTTATATTTATTCTGAAGCTTTCATTTTTATCAACTAATGGCGCTTAAAAAAATTTTTTTTCAATTTTTTACTATGAATTTCCTTATATATCATTTAAAAAAATAATTTAATAAGATTATTAAATAAATAAGTGTAGAACTTTCTACCTGTTTATAAAAAAATGATGAAAAATGATGACTCACAATGGTCAAAAATGAAAAAATAAAAAGAACTTACCTCAAAATTTAACATGATTTTCTTTTCTGGGAAAGTAAGCTGAAAATTTTAAAAATAAATTAAAAAAATTTTAATATAAATTTGAAGAGCTTTAAATTATATACACTTTTATTCTTGGAGTACATAAGGAGGGGTACAATATAAATATTAAACAGTTATCTATTTTTATATTCAAAAAATGTATACTCTAATTATTTTGTATCAACTTTCCTAAAAAAGGTGTCTGTTTTATAATTTTGTAAACTAAGTAAGTTTCACATGTTACTTGATTAAAAACTTCATTCTAAACGTCGTCATAAGCCACTAGGAGTGCTTTCTTATTATGAACCATCATATGTGATTCTGAGGAGGTTATAATAAAGAATTCCCCAGATAGGGATATCTTATCCGCGTACGAGAACATTTCCAGACGTGAGTCTTTATGCACATTTAATCTTGATAATGTACCTGGAAATTTGTCGGAACAATTATGTGACCCCCTGTTACGTGTAGCATCTTTAAACTTGTACGTTTCGACCGAAAAACAGACTAAAAATCTCATTTTAAAAATAATATGTAGCTTTAGGAGTAAAACTAATTTCAGAATTGAAATTCCCACATCCCAATTACACAAGATCAAGTATTTGTTTAAACGCTACAAAAAACTGTCATTTATAATATGTCATTCTTTTTAAAATTTCGTGTGCGTTATCTTACAATGAAAGCATTTTGTTTTCCGTAATAAGTGCTTATTGCGAATATTATATCAATAATTTATCTTTCTTTTCTTCAGTTTTTTTACCTTTACAATAAAGATATGAAGGGGACAACATGAAAAACATTGTATAAGTATTTAAATAATATTTTTAGCTCAGTATTCTACTACAAAAATTAGTATTCCACTCAAGTTTCATTACGATACTATTGTTAATGGTTTAAAGGGATTAAGTTTAGGAAGATGAATATAATTGTGCAGCCAGATTATGAAACAAATTTTCCCATTAATTTCTCAAAGACATTATGCTATAAAATTAAATCCTATTATAAAAAATAGAGTATTTAATTCAAAACAATAACTAAAATTCAGAAACGGCTAAGGAGTTGTTTATAAAATTCAGATAAGCTTGATACAGATTAAAATTATTTTCTTTTTTATAAAATAAACGAAATCAAACTAGAAAATTAAACTATTCTTTAAAGAAAAAATATATATATAATTCATAAGAAATAAATTTCGAATCTATTTTGAAGTCGAGTTACAAGAGAAAAGAGTTATAAATTACATTTTAAAATTCGCTTTATCAGCGTCAAAAAATTTATTGTTACCTTTTCAACTTTTTCAACAACACAGTCAAATATCTGCAATAAAATCGAAAAAAAATATAAGAAATATAAATACAAAGGGCAACTCTAATACAATTTTAAAGAATTGTAAACATATGTGAAAATTTTTTAAGAGATATAAATAAAAAAAGTCGTATTGTAAGTTCATAATTTTTTAAACTGCCAAATATATCACTAAATAATAAATAAATAAATCCTATCAATTTCTTAAAATTACGAAAAAAAATATACAGCATAGTTTGTTTTGTTAAAAAGTGCAATAAAATTTTTATTTAAAATAAGATGGATATATTATAAAATTCTATTTTTTATTTAATTTTTTCGTTCAAGAAATTTATTTTGAGAACGACTCATGTCTATCTATAACGTCTATTTTCAATTAATGTGATTATTTATTAATGATTTTTATTTATTTTGCTTAAATTTGTACGGAGAAAGAAAATATTATAAAATAAAATATTTGTTCTGAGCTCGATGTGATAATGTAATGTTGTTTAAACAAGAATGTTTTGCTTTACAATTTTTGTTATTCAGTAAATTTTGTCATTCTTTCTCAAATAAATTTCTGAATTTCTAGATTGTCGATTGTGAAAAAGAAATTATTTAACTTTTGAAGTGTAAAAACAATTTTGCTTAAAATTTTCTTATTATAAATCAACGTTATCAATTTGTGTATTTATTACTATAATTTTATATAAATTTTGGGAACGCAGTCGTTATGTATTAATACAATGTTATGTATTGTGCAATATGCAATGTTATATGCTATGTTATGTATTAATGCAAAGTTTCTGCAATAACTATTGTTTAAACGCTCCAGATTAATTTTAGGATTATTTGATAATTAAATTAGGTTACTAGAGGTAATGACAGTAGTTAAATGTAAAGTTACCTTAGAAATTTGTGTTGTAATGCTGATAAATAATTTAAGTAAAATTTTTATACTATTTTAATTTAAAATTGTGCTTGAATGAACTAGGAATAAAAATCAAGTTTATAATTTAATACAATTTAATACTAAAATAAACGATTATTTTTATCCAACTTTCGGAACATTGTAAATATTGCTTTTTTATGTTTATAATATTTTAAAAATATATAAATTTTATTTTATTTATACGAATGCTCAACTTTTTTTTTTATGTTTGTAAAAGCGTCGAATCATTTTGTGCTCTATAAATTCCTTAAACCAAGAGCTTACTTTTCCTTTTTTATTTTAGTTTCTCATTTAAAAGAAACCTTCTTATAAAAATTTTTCATTTATTTAAAAAGCTTTTTTTCGTCAATTTATCTAATTTAATTCAATTACGAAAATTCATTTCGGTTTTAATAATCATTCGATCTATTCATTAAAAACTGTATTTAATCATTTTCTTCATCAATTTAAGAGATATCGTTACATATACGATACATATTAATTAATCCAGAAGAATTGAAACAGTTGTCCTTGTTTATAAACGCTGATTATTAAAATTTTAAAAATATGTCAGCCGAAAAAAATTACATTTATGTTACAATGTAATTGCTTTCTTCCTATCAAAAGAATCTTTGAATGATTGCAATTTTTTCAGTCATTTAATTTAATATCATTATTCTTTTTCTTAATGTTTACTATTCACGCAGATAAATCTCATTACGTCCGGAAAATATAAAAGTGTCTCTAAAAAGATGTAAATCATTTTTATTCCGCAGTTAGAATTTTTTTTCTAACCTTCATTAAGTTATTGAAAAATAAAAGCATATTTTGCATAAATATAATCAAAAATTTAATTCTACCTAAAATTGACTAGGTAGAAACTTTCTAACAATCAAAAGATAAACTAATTAAATAAAAAAAATCTCCAAACAATGCATTTAATTTTCTTATGTAAAGGTTTTAATTAGCCAAATACAGATTGAGATATAAAAAAAAACACTCAAAATGGATTAACATTTTATAGATTAAACTATGGAACAACATTTAATCCTCGTTCTTGCTCGCCAACCCCTATAACTGTTGACATAACGCTTTCAAATCGCTTCTCTTTCTCATTTTGCCATGGTTTTCTTCAATCTTCCAAATTGCTTGCTTTAATTTTCTATATATGTTATTTTAAAAATATCAGGCGCTATGCCCCTGTATGCTTTTGTTCCCTTTTATAATAAAATTCGTGATAAAATCTTAGCAACAAAATGATGTACCGTACATTTTTAGTTGGACATAAAGCTATTTTTTCTTCGTTCCAATTGAAAAAATTAGTTTTCCCATTTTTTAAAAACCTTTTTTCTTAATTTTAAATTATTTTCAATGCTAATCCATAGTTAATGAAAAAAAAACTTTATGATAACAAGATGTGGAACACAAAGTTGGACGCATGATGATGTTGATTTAGTTGAACACAAAGAAGTTTAGTTTATCAAAAAAAAAAAAATCTATACTAGAAGAAAAGCAAAACTATGCAGTAACAATGACTTAGGCGAGCAAAATACCAATAAAAATATAAACTGATCCCGAAAAACAAATTCATAATTAAAGAAGAAGAAAACTATGTGACAACAATGATTTAGGCAAAAACAATAGCAAAAAATATATAATTCTAATCCCAAAAAACAAATCTCTAATTTAAAAAAAAATTATTTCAAACGCAGGACTCAGGCAAGCACAATAAGAAGAAAAATCTAAAGCTGATCCCAAAAACAAATCCATAATTAAATAAAAATCAAAACTATTTGACAGCAATGAATTATTCGAGCAGTATAGCAAGAAAAAATCTAAAACTATTCCCGAAAAATAAATCGATAATAAATAAAAAACAAAACTGTTTGACAACAATGACTGAGGCGAGCACAATAACAGGAAAAATCTAAAACTGATCCCAAAAAACAAATCCATAATTAAGGAAAAACAAAACTATTTCATAATATTGCGTTAGGTGAGCACAAAAACAAGGAAAATCTAAAACTGATTCCGAAAACCGAATCCATAATTAAAGAAAAATTATACTATTTCACACATTGTCTAAGATGTGCACAATAAGAAGAAAAATCTAAAACTGATCCCGAAAACAAATCCATAATAAAAGAAAAACAAAACTATCTCACAACATTGTCTTAGGTGAGCACAATAAAAAAAGAAAGCTAAAACTGATCCCAAAAGACAAATCCGTAATTAAAGTGAAATATGATAGCAATGACTGAGGTGAGCATAATAGCAAGAAAAATTTAAAACTGATCCAAAAAAAAAAAATCCATAACAAAAAAATTAAATAAATATCTGACAACTATATAACTGAGCCGAGCACAATAGCAAGAAAAATCTAGCATTGAATCCCAGACATGCGAGTTTGATTCGCCAAATACTAAATACAGTGGTTGATACAATTATCGAACTTCTTTTAGCGGAACCCAGAGACTAAGAAGAAATTTCATTAGCAAATGTGATAAATATTGATAAACTAAATACCATTATTTATTTTAAAAATATTAAAAAAATTAAAATTTTACTAATTATTTTAAAAATATTTAGCGAATTAATAAAGAACAAAATTTTTTCATCGGGTAGTTTTAACACTACTAGACTTAAATTTGGGCTTTATGTCATACATTTGAAGCCTAAAGTGGCATCTAGTTCATAATTATTATCATAAATATAGTTCATAATTATTATCATATATCTAGTTCATAACTAGTTCATAGTAATAGTTTATTGTATGCATAAACTAAAAATGAATGAGCTGAAAAATGGTTCTTGTTTACAAAAAAAAATGAAAAATTTCGAAAATATACGTTGAGAATAATGATCAGATCAATATTAAATAACTAATGAAAAATTAATTGGTTATAAATTTTATTACGGGGCTTCGTAACTGATAATGTTGTCTTAATTTTCTCAACACCATTTGCGAACCGCTGTACTATTAAACACTCTTAAATGAAATTGAAGTAAACCTATTCAATTCTTACTTTTTCGGGTGTTTCTGGCTTCTCAAAAAGAATTGAATAAGGAGTGCATCTTTTAATTCCCTCCGGAACTACTTCACGTTTACATTCATCTAAAGAAAATAGTACCTGAAAATTGCAAAATATTATTAAACAACATCATTAACATATTAAATTTTAATTATGAAAATGCTGAATATTTCAAAAATTCGAAAAAAATTTTATTGCATTTTTCGAATCTCTGTACCCTTCCTAATGTCTGTCTAAAATGATTTCTCGGTACCTAACATGGTTTGGAAGTTATACCGGAAAATAGCAGGTAGAAAGGCCCTTCGGCCGGATTAGGAGGGGCGACATTCTTTTTGAGTCTCATTCATTCTGTTGACTGTATATAGAAACTTATTGTAGGCATTTCATTTATCGAAAATTATATATATGAAATTAAACGTTTTCCCCTACCATAAGTCAAAACTGAAAACACGTTTTTCTCAAAACGCTGTTTTTTGCCCTGCTCCAGCGTTTTTCTCATAATCTATACAACGAACTAAGCTGTTCTTTATTTTAAATTACGTAAAAATATATTCTTTAGAAAGTGGCACAGGATTTTTTTGATATTTTTATATTTCGATTTTATATTAGTATTTTAATGAATATTTTTTTAACGAAAAACGTAACTTTTTTTTTAAGTTGCGGCCATTTTGGTAATTTTGCGAATATCAAAAAACCGCTGTGCTACTTTTTAGATAATGTCTTAATGTCCTCAGAAAATCTAAACAGAATCGTTTTTCTATATTTCAAGACTTCTAAATCCATGAGGCCAGTGAGGTGCTACTTTTCGATGACCAGTCACACACGGAGCTGCCACCAACTTATTTTTTATTATTTTGTAAAAGAAAATTTTTCAAAATAGACTTAAATTGTAGCTAAATAACATAAAAAAAACAAGGAGTCTCTGCATTGTCTCTATTACTTAAAAAAAATTCAAGAATTTTACCACCTTAGGGTGGGGTCCCCCCTTAACGAAAATTTTTTTTAACACGCTTAAGAAAGTGACAGATCATTCGTTCATTTTTAAATATCTCTAAATATTGATTTTATCATTTGAAAAATATAACGAATGGTAACAATACTTATGAATTCTTAACTCTGCTGCTGTTTTCTGTGTATTGTGGTGTGACTACCACTAAGATTATTAAATACCAATTCCCTAGTATATAAGACATGTTCATTCCATCTAGAAGTATCTTTGGATAGTTGAAGGTTGACATAGGCTATAATTATATCCCCTTATTGGTGACCCGGACGTGATATGGACTTGCCAACTTCGATGGATGGTCCACATTAAACTTTATATGGAGAGTTGATTTTAAACTTAAAAAAATTCCAAAATATAAATAAATGAAGGAAACAAAAAAAAAGCTAGTAGAGAGATAATTATTATTAATAATGAATCTCTAAGTAGTGATTAGAATCAGTTATTGTTTACTTACTCTTGGGGACATTAATCGTTCACAAGCAGCAAATTTACTACAAAGCAATGGATCCTTGCCTAAAAACAAAAACAAAATAAATTTTATTTTTAATGAAATTTAAATTCATTTTTTGCATTTCTAAACTGAAAAACATAAGGTAATACATCAATAAGTAACATTTTTCAAATTGTCAATAAAAAAAAAAATTTGTTTGAAACACAACGATTCCACAGTGGACTGATCGTAAAGACGCGGTTTCCAGTAGAACACCGCAGTGAAGCATCACTGTCTGTGGTCAGTCAGAGGGAAGACGACCACTTTGATCAGTCTGCGAAGGGACCGAGGGTGCCAGGTATCGATCCTCGTTAAACTGTTTTCATAACTGCGTGGCGTACAAAACTTGGCCGTTTCATAACTTCGTAAAGTACCGATTCATAATTACGCTGGTCCTTAGTCCTTAACTTCGCTAACCTCGAACTTAGCAGGCAAGGCTGTAGATAGAAAATTTCTTTCTTTTTTTCGTTGAGGAGAAAATTTCTTCCTTCTTTTTTCTTTTTTTTTCTTTCTCTCAAACATTAAGCACTCTAATTAATTTTCAATGCTGAAATACTCAGGTTCACAAACCTTTAAATATTAACATTAAGCGGTTTATTCTTCGATTTTTCCATTTGAAAAGATAATTTATTAAAAAAAAACATTTAATTTAAATAAAAATTAATTAAATATTTTTACTTTTATTAATATTAATTATGAATTTGAACTTTTTAATATCATATAACGTATAAAGTATTTTTATTAGAAGTAATACCGCAATTAACTATTAATTTAATATTAATTATTAATTTAAGATTTTGAATTTGAGAAATTTAGCTTACGTGAAGTTTTAACCACGAAGTTTTGTCCTGTTACCTATAAAATTATTCGATTTGTCACAAAATATTTTTTCCAATATGATAAAAAAAATCTATGTTTATTGATCCATTAATATTTGGACTGCATTCCTAAAATAAAATATTAAAATTTTTAAAAATCTTACTTTTAGAAACACATTCGACAATTTCCAGAAATTCTTTTTTCTCCATAGTAACAAGATATTCTCCAGCCGCGCATATTGCGTAAGCATATCCCACCAAAAACAGAAACAAACCAAATAAACGGTAGGTGTTCATTATTTAAACCTCGTTATACTGTAACACTCCACAAAAGTCACTATGTTAGTAGGAAGATGTAGCACCGTATATAAAGTTTCTAAAATTGCGATTGCAAGAATCAATTTCATACTTAGAATAGTAATTTTCATTAATTTTGAAGTAAGTAAACAATTATATAAATCCAAGCTCAATGTTTGAATAGCAGGATTTATAAAGTTTCAAATGCATTTGTGCGGAACAAGGAAATCAATCACGGATCAAAATTTCGTCTACGCTCGACCGGTTGATTTTGAAGAAATTGAAAATAAAATGCAACGTTCGTAAACTTGATGCTTACTGGCACACTTTCACAATACACACCCACCCACCCACACACACACACATATATATATATATATATATATAAACGTAAAGCATAACAATAAAATAATATAAAATAGAGAAACTATTAATGGGAAAAAGTAAAGGCATCATAAGTAGTAAGATAAAGTAAAGATGAAGACACATCCTTNTATATTATATTATATTATATTATATATATTTTGTGGCAATATAAAAGCGTGTACTACTTTATCTATTGGCAAAACTATACTTACTATTCATTTTGCTAGGTTGCCTTAGGTAATAATTTAAGTAGCACTGAATTGTTAGTTATGAGTTAAGTAATTATTTAGAATAATGTTGAATTTTTATAGAAATGAAAGCTTAGTTAAGTAATTATGTAGGTTTATAGTTTAAATAAATTATATGATAGTCAAGTTATAATTCGAGAGGTGCGCGAGGAAGTAGTACAGCACGTAATGAAGCATTGGGGGTGAGTTTTCGATCTTATCTGAAGACAGATAAAGAAATAGTTTTAATACTTTTGTTGCCTACTACGCTGAAATGTCCCGAACTCTTCCTTACGGTTGGGGGGTATGTGTGATTTAAACTTATTAATTACTGAAATTCAATGCATAAAGAATTTTGGCAATAACAGCATCTCTTAAAAGTAGTTAAAATAGCAATAAGTACTTAAGCTCAGTTAATCCCTGACAAAGCCACGGGTGAAACCTAGATACTGAAAAAATTTGATTGATATATTGTTTACAACTAATTAAGGATAACTAAACAAATTAAGTTGTAAGGTTTAAAACTAAATAAAGAATGGACAGGGATTTGAAGAATTAGAATATTTAAATATAGTTGCGCTTTACATTCGACTTGATTACAGTTAAAAATTGTTTGTTGTACAAGATAATTTTGAAATGTGACGAAGCTGGCGGCCAATGGCAGCTATCACATGTTTGGGACTTTGAAATTGATTTTTGTCTAAAAATATCATACTTAACATATATATTTTTGGTTTTTAACGTTGTTTTTTTTTAAACTATCATCATATTCGTGATTTTTAAAGGTGATTTTTATCTTTTTTTAACATCATTACAAAATGTTTGTTGTTTTCAACGCTGGTTTTAACGTTAGCTAGCTTTTTTGCATGATTATTTATTCTTCAACATTGAGAGAAAACCTATTGCCGATAAAAATTAGATCATATTATTATTATGTAAATTAAATTATTGGTAGATTATTGAGAAAAAAACAAATTACAAATACATAGATATTTATCATCAATATTGCATTCTTTAACATTAAAACTGAAAGAAAACGGACTGTTAAAAAAGCAAACAATGGTTATTTTATTCTACAACTTTATTTCTAAAAGAAGATGGATTGTTAAAATATAGCATTTTACAAACACATAGAAATTCGCCATGATCATTTTATTATTTAACATTAAAACTAAAGGCAATCTTTCAGTTAAAAAAAAAAGTCAAATTAGAGACATATTGATGTTTGGAATTCTTTTTTAACAATAATGTAATTCTTCCGCAACAATGTAATTATTCTATTCTTCAAAATTAAAACTAAAAGAAACACATACATTTTTGCCATCAATATTTTTTTCAACATTGTAAGAAAATTGATTATCGAAAAAAATGGATTGATATTATTATTGGAAAAATTAGATTGTTGGTAGATTGTTGAAAAGAAAGCAAATTACAAATTGCATATTTGTTATGAATATTTAATTTTTCAACATTAAAACTAAGATGATCGTTGAAAATAAGTTAAATGAAAAAACAAATATGCGTGTATTATGCATATTTGAAGATTGTTTTGTCTTCATTTTTTTAAAGTTTTCTTCAACAAAATAAACTATAAAAACTTTTTCCACTAAAAAGAAAAATCTAGAAGACTACAACTTAGTAAAGATTTAACAAGCCATTGCGTTCGAGAAGTGAAATATGTGCAAGATTAAAGATACTCTCTAAACATGGGATTAACTTCTTCGCCTTCATCATGTTTTGGCATTAGTCAATGTGAGTTATTGCAGTAATCCATGCATAACGACTAACAACGATCAGGTTCGTAAATCCGTGAACAAAATAAAAATGCTTCCACCGTAGATTTAGTGGTTTCGAGAAAACGGTTGTTTACAAACTGCTACTTGAAGTGTGAAATTAGTGGCCGAAGTTGTTTCTAAGTTTTTACATTTAGGGGCAAGAAATTAAGATTAAATATATTTTAATAAATTTTAATAATATTTTTATCAATTGCATTTCTTATTATTTTTGTAAGTTATTATTTTTTAAAATAATAACTTATTTTAATAGTTAAATTTTCTAAGTAAATTATTTCCACCTGAAATTTTGCAGTTTCGAGAAGAAGAAAAAGATTGTTTTGTGTTTACAAACTAATTCTTGAAATCTTAAAAGAGTGTCAGAAAAAAAATAAGTTATTTATAAATATTTACATTTATAAGCTTTAATTAGTCATAAAATTGAAACATTTTTGAACAGTTATTGTTTATAGAAGCATTATTTTTAATTTTATTAATTTGTTAATTATTTTTTATTTAAATTAATTTTATGCATGAACTTAGTGATTTAGAGAAAGCGGTAATTTACAAACTCCTACTTGAAGTGTGAAATTAGTGATCAAAGTTATTTCTAAGCTTTTTACATTTAGGTACAAGCTATAAAGATTAAAATTATTTAATGGATTTTTATAATATTTTTTATTAATTCCATTTCCTATTATTTTCGTAAATTATGATTTTTTTAAAATAATCACTTATTTTAAAAGTTAAATGTTTCCATTTTAGATTTTTCGGTTTCGAGAAAATAGAGATTATTTTGTGTTTACAAATTACTTCTTGAAATGTTAAAAGAGTTAAATGTCTATTAATGAATTCTCACAAATAAGTTAAGTTATTTATAAGTATTTACAAATATAAGCTAGATTAAATAAGACATGAAATTTCTACAAATTTGAATGTTTTTATTATAAATAATTATCATAATTTTTATAGTTGTTTTTTGTAAAGTAATATAATTTATTTTGTTAATTAATTTCTTAATTAATTTTTAATTAAAACTAGCTTTATCGTTAAATTTAGAGTTGAAGTTATTTCTTAGTTAGGGGTAAGCCATGATTGTTAAAAATATTATAATGTATGTATGCAAAAAGATTTTATTAATTCCATTTCTTCTTATTTTTGTAATTTATTATTTTTCAAAAATAATTACTTATTTTAATGGTCAAATTTTATAAGTAATTTTTTTTTACCTCAGGTTTTGTGATTTTGGGTAAATAGAGATAATTTTGTGTTTACAAACTTATTCTTGAAACGTTAAAAGAGTGGTTAAACGAGTTGTTTAGAAATATTTTTACTTATGAGCTAGATTTAAAACTCATAAAATTTTATCATGTTTGAATGTTTTTTATTATAATTAATTAAAATAGTTTTTATAGTTTTAAGAAAAATATTTATTTTATTAACTAATTTTTTTTTTAAATTAAGATTAGCTTCATCCATAAATTTAGTATCTTTCACAAAAAGGTGGTTTACAAACTGCCTCTTGAATTGTGAAATTGGTGATCATCATAAACTCTAACCATATTTTCATGACTTCTTATAATAAGTTTTTAAAAATTCTATTTTTTCTATTATTTCACTATTATTTTGAATAAATAAAATAATCAATTATTTTTCATAGAAAATTTTAAATATATTGATTAAAATTTGTTTTATCAATTTCTTTAATAAATTTAGTAATTTCGTGCGAATGGTTGTTTACATATTGCCAATTGAAGTGTAAATGATTGGTCAAAGTTATTTGCAAGTTTTTACATTTAAGGGGATGACATATTTAGCTGTAAAATTGTAAAATATTTTAATAATTTTTATAATAGTTTCTATTAATTTGTTTCACTTTTTTTGTAAATCATTATTTAAAATGTAATTATCTTTAAGTTTATTATTTTTAAGTTTATTATCTTTAAATTATATTTATAAATTATTATTAAGTTTGTTATTTTTTCAAGTTTTGTTTCTATCGTAAATTTAGTTATTTTAAGAAACTGGTTGTTTACTTGAAATAAGAAATTTCAGTATGTATGCAAAAAAAGTATTATACTTTAGACTTGAAATAAGAAATTTCAAGTCAAAAGTATAATACTTTATTTTTAAGTTTTTAAATTTAGAGGAAAAATGTAATCAGTCAATAATTTAAACAAAATTTTAATGTTTTTTTTTCCTCTTCATTGCAGAATTTTATAAAATTTTTAAATTATTTTTATTGGTTATTATTAAATGATTATGATTTTCTTTAAATGCTGATTCATGAACTTTAAATTCCTTAATCATCATTTAAAAAATCATAATGATTAATGATGATTAATCAGTTGTGTTTTTACGAAAAACGGTCTCTTGAAAAATTTAAAAATGTGACCTATCATTATGTTGCCTCAAGCTTTTCCACTTTTTATAGCTTCTTGTATTTTGTTTATTTTTCTTTTAAATTTGGGGTTTCTCGATTTCTTAACAAAATCTTAGCGCAAATAAACTTTTGAGACAAAATAAGAAAGAACGAAATGTACAGGAGAGGTCTGCTATTATTTATTAAAAATTAATTTCATTATGATCATTTTGTTTCTATGGTAAAAAAATTATATTATCACATTTTTCTTATTCATTTTAACAAAATAATCTTCAATTAATTTAAATAAAATAACACTTAGAACGAAT